CTTCTATTACGCCTCACCCTGAAATCAAGGGTAGCCCTGTTGCTGCCCAGTTGCGCATATCTCTCCCTATTTTTCTCTGTGGAAACTTCACTTTTAAAACCACCCGTCGTGTCACCATTGTGTTTACTAGCAAATGCCAGCACATACTAACTAAGTTTCGACGGCATTCGTGCTGTACCTTTCCATGCTGGGGTATCACATTAAACTTTACAATAACCTAGTTTTCGACAGCAAGAAATAGTAACCGCAGCTTTGTATAGGGTGTCCCAATAATTACTTGCGGTAGATTTCAACCCCTTCATTAGAAGGGTATATTCTGCCTGCGCGTACTGGGAGTGGCTGTGCGGAGGTTCTCTTATGGTATTCATCATTAATTGGGCGTGAAATTGCAAGTATCTCTGCGATGGTGAGAGGGATCCAATGTGACCTGCGGATTGTAGGAGATTATTAGATTTCTTGATGTGATGATTTCTGTCCATATCGCGTCGCCGCGAGAATGGCCTTCTTGCTCCCCTAATCTCAACTCACTTTGATTTCTTAGTCAGGTTCGGTGGATCAAGGCAAGCATGGTTTGACTTGTCATTGACAAAGCTGCAATCATTGCAGCATTCAGAGAAGCATTGGCAGACGCGGATACGAAGTTATACGACGTACAACGTGTGAAGGATGCAAGAACAGACCCCAGGCCTGTATTCGTGCAGATGGAGGACATTTTGAAAGGCTGTTGTTGCATGTTGTTTCGGATGATAACAGTGTAATCTTACATACTATAAAGCGCTTCGGCTGTCGTCTGTATGTCTGCCAGCAGAAAATTCCCTAACCTCCTCGGGACCGCTCATGGAGGCCAGGGTCAAGTGGGACAGTTGGCAAGGTCTACTATCAAAACCACACACTCACGCTAGGCGCAGACCCGCCTTCCACCGTGGCTGCGTGCGTCGAAATGAACTGTCCCGAAGACCAAGATTTCGATTTCAGTGACAAAACGACCTCGAAACTGGGCCAAAAAGTGGGTAAAGGTGTGCATTGGTAAGTCACATCGAATTAGGGAGACCCACCCCCGGTGGGCGGGGCGTTCTCTAAAAAAGCAGTGCTTTATGAAAAATTTCATAACTCGGTTGGGAGAAAGCCTACAGAGCAGAAAACAATTCGGTGTAAGGGAGCAATGTCTAAGGTGTTTCCCAGCATACATGACGTGGGCGAGGTCTGCCCACAATGGGTGGGGCCGCGCTCTGAAGTGTACAGCATTTTCTACAAGCCCTCATAATTCGGGTCGGGGAAGTCTTAAAGAGCCGGAAAAAGGTGGATAGAGGTGTATGGAGGAGTGGAGGCCAGCTGTCAATGGTGGGCGGGGCTTGACCAAAGTGGGCGGAGTTTGCGACGAAAATTCATAACTCGGCTCCAAAGTCCCGGAGGCCGGGAAAAAGGTGGATGGAGGTGGGTGGAGGAGTGGAGGCCAGCTGTCAATGGTGGGGCGGGACATTGACCAAAGTGGGCGGAGTTTGCGACGAAAATTCATAACTCGGCTCCAAGAAGTCCAGGAGGCTGGGAAAAAGGGGTTAGAGGTTGGCGAGGGAAAGGAGGTCAACTGCTATTAGTGGGTAGAGCACGCACCTAAAGTGGGCGGAGTTTGCCAAAAGTGTCGTAATTTGGTTCCAAGAGGTCCCAGAGACCGGTGAAAAAAGGGGTAGAGGTCGGCGAAAGGAAGGGGCCAAATGCTATTGGTGGGCGGGGCACGCACCGAAGTAGGCGGAGTTTGCCACGAGATTTATTTGTCCGGAAGCAGTCCGGAGACCGGGAAAAAGAGGATAATGGTTGACGAAGAAAAAGAGGTTGAAAGCCGTCGATGATGGAGCGGATAGAATTTAGCTGAGAATTCAGATATTCGTGGTGTATCAAGCCAAATTTGAAAATTTTCGTCGCACCATCAAAATTCGCCGCAGATCTGTGTTGTGCGCTGTAATTTCATAATTTCAATATCATTCTGTTTGCGAACACCTCAAAGGACACTGCCAATAACAGCGCGTAATTTTGAGCACTTCCGTCCATGCGTGAAAAGCCACTACTGAATGGAGAATGCGATTTCCCACTGTAAGCATTTGTGTGTTACTTTTGCGGAGATAAATCAGTTTTGGGGTCACACACCAGAGTGAAATTGCCATCGATGAGGCGCCGTCGAATGAATTCCATTCCGATCAGTCAGTAGTAGCGTTTCAAGAAACGTCATGTCGCTTCCCACCCCGAATTTTCAAATGCACGTATCCGCTTACAACTGAGGCAACGTCAAGTAAGCAAAACCGTTAGAATGCGCAGAGCTTTTCTATTGCCAATATCGAGCTCGATCTGGGAACGCTGTTCAGAATCGAATCTCTGGAGGCGATAAAAATCTTGAGGGAAAGTTCGTTTTGGCATCATTTTGGGCTTCTGAATGCATTTCTTTCAAGCCTATTGAATCGTCAAAATGTGACAGTAAAATAGAACACGAAGGTCTATCCGAACTTAAGTTTCTACGCATAATCACTTGACGTCGCCTGGTCCCAACTTTGTGAACGTTGTGGTCGATGTGCGTCCAAGATATCTATCTGTTACAAACGCCTTATAATGAGAATCGGACACAAACGTCTCGGAGTTTTTGGTGAATTTCGACGTAATGTTAAGGCTGCTTTTTCCACTGTTCAGGCATTCAGTTCCAGGCTGATACGAAGAACATGGCCAGCCGCTGACCCCATGAAAGCTGCCACAACCCTCCTCCAGCACAGTTTAAATTCTGCAAAGTTTGTAGAGCTTCATCGCCGTCGATCTATTCAGCAAACTTTCGTAGACTATAGAGAAGAATCCGCTCTTATTATATTAGGTCGCAACGAAAGTCCTGGCCGAATTTTTCAAAAGCCTGGCAAATGGCTGCACAATATCCCAGCGCGGGATATTTCGTAACCATACATAGGACCAATGTATTTCATCATATTCTAAAGTCTTACTGTCTGCACGCCTTTTGAAGCCTGGAAAATGCCAAATGTTTCGACCCATGTACGCCACTGCCTTCTTTACGAATTTCGTCTGGGACACACAGCCAGCGAAGCCTGCCGGAATATATGCTCCGCGGAAGGAGAAGGAGTGGTGAGTGAGAGGACCTGCCGTCGTTGGTTCAAAAAGTTCCGCGAAGGAGACTACAACCTCGAAGATGAACCTCGTGGTGGACGTCCAACAGAAGTCAATTTGGAACGTTTGGAGCATCTACTTCAAGACAATCCGCATGCAAGCGCCAAGGATCTGGCAAAGGAGATGCAGTGCTCCGACATGGCCGTAGGTCGTGCCCTCCACAAGCTGGGAAAAGTCAATAAACTTAGTCGATGGATCCCGCATGAGCTGACAGACCAGTCCAAGAAAAGGCGTGTTGAGGTGTGCAAAGGATTTCTTGCAAGGAGCCGCCGTTTCGATTGGCTGAATAATGTCATTACCGGGGATGAAAAGTGGTGCTCTAACGTAAATCATACCAGGAGAAGACAGTGGGTGGATGCGGACGAGAAGCCAGATCCTGTCCCAAAACAGGAGCTTCATCCGAAGAAGGTTCTTCTGTCAATTTGGTGGAGCGTTCGCGGAATACATCATTACGAGCTGCTGCCCAACAATACCACCGTCGACGCTGAGGTGTACTGCTCACAACTACGAAGGCTCGCAGCTGAAGTCGCAAAGCTTCGCCCTAAGCTGCGCGAAGTCCTTCTTCTTCATGACAACGCGCGACCGCATGTAGCAAGTGTAACTCAGGACACACTGGCGGAACTTGGATTCACGGTCTTACCCCATCCACCATATTCGCCAGATCTCGCACCTACGGATTACCACCTGTTTCGTTCCCTGGCTAACTTCCTAAAGGACAAAAGTACGATGATCGTCAACAGTTGGAAACGGACATCCAGCAGTTCTTCGACTCGAAACCTGCCGAATTTTGGAGGAGAGGCATTCATTCCCTTGTCGACCGATGGCGGACTGTTGTAGATACTTGTGGAAATTATTATTTGGAATAAAGTTTGATTTCAACAAAAATGTGAGTTTTTGAAAAAGATGGTTGAATCCGCCATTACTTTCGTTGCGACCAATATCATCAGAAATAATCCTGTAGAGAAACGAGTCGCTTTATCACATAAAACAAGCGACAATTTGATGGACGACCCTTCAAATTGGTGATTTGTCGCGGCACGCCCCTATCAAATTTTTGGACTTTCCAGCTTCTTCCGTATAGCTTGGCTGTACAAACCATATACGCCCAGGTTGGGCAGAACCTCCTCTATGGTCTTACGCACGAGTGCTCAATCAGAACTTTTGGCTAATGGGTGGCAACGTCCGATATCTGACCACCACTCTCATCATACCCAAGGCTCTCGCTTTCGTTACAATAACTTTTCGAACTACTGCTTCTGAGCACATTTATTGCGAATCTAGGCCAAGTGCATCGTTAATATCTTGAACTGTTCCCGCTACTTTCAGGTCTATTTAAAGCTAGAAAAAGAAAGTCATGCCAACTTGCTCATCGAGTATACCGCATTCAAAGCTTTGAAAAAGCTATAAGAAAATGTTTTAGGACAAAGTTGAGCTAAGCATGAGGATAGAGCAGGAAAAGCTCTTCAAACGATATCCATACCGATTGCAGTTTTTCCGGATTTCAAGGAAAATAAAGCATCCAAAGAGGAGTGTCAGAAAACTACAGAACTTTTTGAAACGCCTAGTACGTTCACCCACGCTAATCACTCTCGCCACCCGCGAGCCGTCTGTGCTCTCCGCGAGTCCTCACTCTCGAACTGCTCTCGCACAGTACAGAGCCATGGTCGAGGAATTCCTCGTCCGTTATTCGCCCTAGTCACCACCTCAAGTCAGCTACAAATCCAGTGCATCTACTATGAAAATGTAAAACTGAGGAGCGGCACATTAATCACTACTGCAAATATATTGTTTAACTTGTTATACATTGCGAATAAAAGTAAAAGAACAGAAACAGCGATAAAATTTCAATCAATCCATCCTACTTTTTCTGCGATGTCGATTTCATCATCGCTCGGTTTGTTCCTTGTACATGTGGTTCTTTCACCATCAGAAATGACAATTAGGAATTTATAGGCTGTCTTCTCTTTCTAAATATTAGACAAATTACCTCCTGCTTTAACTTTGAACAATGAACTCACTTCTGTCTTCGCTTATGTAACTCAAACATTGACGGGTTCTATATATTCCACTCAAAGGCAAGCCCCGGGATAAGCCCGACTAGTAAGAAGGATAGAGCGAGGGAAATTGTGGGGCTCTCACCTATGTAGATACATAGATCAGGCCAGCTCTGTCGCAATTGCGCGGTTAGGGCGCTAATCCTTACGGGCCTGCAACCATCGACCCCGTTGCAACGCTTCCCACCCACCTCGATTGATGTAGAGATCAGCGTGCTCTCTCGAACGGCGTGCTCTCTCGCGTGTTTTGTCTTTGATCGCCCTGTCTCGCCATCGTACCACATCCGACCTTACTGAAGGTTAAGGCCTTAATTTTAGCGTTTCAATGATTTCTCTTGCTTTCCTTCCCACTTTCAGCTCCTCCACAGCTCAGTCATCACTACGAAGCGCTCTTAGACACCAGTTTCATCCCGTGTCTCAGCACAATGTCCTTTTTCTGGGTGCTATTTTTTATTTTGTGTCTTTTATTCGGCTGGTTCAGAGCGGGTGACTGGAGATGTCTCATTGGGTTTACTGAAATGGCTCAATGAGGAACGCAAAACTTTTCGTACGTAGATGTGTTGCCTTTTGCCGGCAGAGCAGCGCGCAAACCTTGTACCTATCACCTTCGGATGATGCAGTGCATTTTGCGTTATCTAGAGACAACCGGCTAACTTGTCCTATAGTGAGTAATTTCATATGCGATTATGAAACGACTTCGCATTCTGCGCCGATTGGATGCCCCTTGTCCGCTCGGTGTTCAAAATCGGCCGACATTGTTCTCGGTTTGAGTGGCAGACGAGACAGAAAATATTTACAATAGCGTCGCGCTGGAGAACTAATGTAGATTTAGGTAGTCTAGGACACGCGAAATATCAATATCGCGAGGTCTTACTCAAATTTGCGTAGAACCGTGTCGGCCAAGGTTTGAAGCCACTGGCGCCGGATGGCGCTACTGGCTGAATGGAGGGCCATGTTTGCATCAGGACAATTTATCTCTACAAGCACTAGTTACACGAGTTTCTAAGGCTCGTCAAAACTACGCAGTATCGCGCGGGGGGGTTTCTACCGAGAAATTTAGGCTGATTGTTCTGTACATGATAGTAATGCCCGTGAGTAGTCGCTTTCCCACCTTCCCAGCAAAAGTCACCTGAGATTCCGGGCGGATCTCCGACCAAACACTATTCCTGAGAAAATTTCAATTTCAAGCGACTGCTTTAACAGGAAACCGCTAGCAGCGCTAGAGCGTGTCGACGACGTTGAGGAATCCTCGACACGTCGCAGGGGGGGGGGGTCGTATCGGGCCCGCTGGATGGAAGAGATCGAGCCATTTTGGTGCAGTGGGATCATCACCGTCGGAGGACAAATATCAAGGATGAGTCGATGCCAGGCCAGAGGATTTCCAATGAAAATGATATTTCACCCACACAAAATTTTCGTGATTCTGAGGCGTCCGGTAATTCTTAGTTACTTCAGTGTTTTATCACCACACAAGTTAAAGAATCTGAATTTCGCACGCTTTCCAAGAGATATTTCATCTTTCAAGTAAGACCCCGAATCTGAAGGGATGTGAGGTACACGGCGCATCCGAGAAAGGGTCTAGTTGTTGCGCGCGCTTGAACTACGGCTCCTTGGACAAACAACCTCAATTCAGGAACAATCGAGAGAATTCTGAAAGTGTCCGTGCGCATTTACAGGGAGGTGTACACCATTCAACACTGCGTTAACGGACTCTTCAGGGTTAAATTTATAAACATGTAACCTTTAAAGTTAAAACGCTAATCAATCACTTTTCTTAGAAAGAGAAAAGCAATGATTCCAAATCTGCTCTTACTTTAGTACATACGCCCTTAAAAGGATATACAGCCGTTGAAATAGTGCCAATGTAGCGAAAAAGTACCTTTCGGCGGTACTCGTGCGAAAATCCTCAACGTAGCCGTTTTTTTAATACTGGACGTTTGGAGCAGTTCTAGTAAGCATTTGATAGAGCAAATCTTCTAGTTTATGATGGCGTATTTACTTTTCGGATTGGATGAGTTTGAACGGAGTTATGGCTTTAGGAAGTAAAAAAACTCGCACTCATCACAAATTTTCCTCGTTAATTTTGCAGAAAATCCTCAACGTGGCCATTTTTTGAATACTGGACGTATAAAGCTGCTTTAGCAACGGTTTGGTAGAGAAAATCTTCTAGTTTTGTATGACGTATCAACTTTTTGAATTTGACGGAAATGAAGCAAGTTATTGCTCCGGAAAGTGTAAAAACTCGTGCTCGTCTCGAATTTTCCTCGTTATTTGATCTAAATTTGTTATTTCTTATAACTTTTTGTAATTTCAGTACTGATTAGAAAAAGCTCTTCACAAAACTTCCAAATCTGCTTTCAGATTGAAAATTCGTTAACTTTGAAGAAAGTTATAATCATTTGAATATTTGTTCAAATTTCAATAGTAAATAAGCTGCTCCACGGTCAACGCCAAAGTCCAGTCAACACACAGCTGGCGAAGGCGGTTTTAAAAGCTTTTTCAACTGAAGGGCTACGTGCAAATTGAGAACCACAATCTGTGTAGTACTAGAATTTGGTAAGTCTTGTGGAGGAAATAAATAAAGAAGATATTTTGTCAATAGTATGCCATTTTTAGTGGCTAGTTTGTCGTTTTCTGGTCTGTTTCTCGTTTGCTCGTTTGGTAGGACTCATCAATAATGATTATTCTTTGACTTTTTCACTTTTTTAATTCTTAAGCGAATTTTTTTGTGGGCGGTGGGGTAGCAGGGCATTTATGAGCACTTTTGGGGGAGAATCAAACAAGCTTTTCAACCTTTTCATAGTTCGGCTTTTGAAGAGGGTTGTTTCATGGACTTCGGCCTCCGGCGGAGGGTGGTGGGGGGGGGGTCGTATTTCCAAATTTTCCTCAACGCCTCGCTTGACCCTGCGCGGCTACGTTTGAATTGCGCAGCCAGTCGTTAGATGCAGATTAACGACTGATTGTTAGTACTCAATCTCCCGTATGAATACTTGCTGATAAAGAACAGAGCTGTTGGGACGAAAAGCTGGTTTGTCTAGGCGAGAATCAATCTATCATTGAAGTCTTCACCATAGGCGTGGCAAGAACAGGGTCAACCCTACGTTGGGACAAGTAGGGCGGAGGAAAATTTGCCGTTCCACCGCGTGTATATCAACCCCTCCCTCCCCTCACGCTCGACTGTGTTTTCGAGGGGAAAGAGGGGAAAAGAAATTGTGAAGAAGGGGTCGTAAGAAAGTTCTCATGAGGGAGGGGGCGTAAAAAAATTTCAAACAGTCCCAACGGTAGGGTTGACCCTGAGCAGGAAGCACCAGCGCCGTTGCAATGCTTTAGGGTTTGGAGTGGTAAATAAATGCCTACTCGCGAGTGGAACTTTTAGATTTGCTTCAATGAAAACCAACATTTTAACGCACAAACAAATTTCTAGAATCAGTCCTAATATCCGTGTAAAATTCGCTACATTGAAATGACTAGTTTTCTAGGGCTGAATTGATAAATGAGTGTTATCAATGCATACATCTCCCAATTAATCACTTACAGCGAGAAGCTTTCTGGCTAAATTGAAAGCCTGAGCAGTTCCCTTCTTGTCTGTCGGTCTTGACGGTGGTGAAAGTTTACGACTGAAATTTGCGTCTAGTGCTATATTCAGCTATGGAGAACGGTGAAACCCATACCAGCAAATGTAAGTGCTGGATGCGCTTAACGAAGATACGTGAAAACAAAGCAGCAGTGATACTTACCGTATTCGGGGCTGTGTGTAGCTTCCCATTTCCATAAGGACTTCCGAAGGGCAATCGATCGATACGGCTCCGATTCTTGCCTCATCCATTTCGGCGACAACATCTATCACATAGTCAATTGCCTGAAACCCGTGACTATCAATTTTCTTCAATAGCAGAGACGTTTACACTTCTGGGTTGTTTACACGGAAGGATCGGGGATGGCGTGCATTGCTCCAAAGGATCTCCGGATACATTCGAAGCCAGCTGCAGTCATCGCAACTTATAGATTCGGTGACCCTGCCATTATACAGGAGCTGTTGTCTATTGCACCATCACACCCCCCCCCCTCCCCCACCCCATGCCAACAAGTATCCAGCTCTTGGCGGCTTCTGATGCTTACCTACCAGCTCGTAACCCACTTGGATAGCAGATTAGCGGCAGATTCCCACAGCTGAGAGCTGTCTAGGTACTCTCAAGATAGGTACTCGGTGACCCTCTCAGATTAACCTTGTTCTACGCTTCTCAAAATTGTGCAAAGAACAAATACCACAGTTATCGATGTTTGTGTCCCGGACTAGCCACCGGGGTTCCCTTTTCTCGAAGTAGTTTGTCTTCCGCTGCCCTCATTACCACTTGGGATGCTAAAAGTTTATAAAGGAGACGCGTCTGTACGAGACATGCGTCCTATGTGTTTAACAACGGAGTGTGTAGTCGTGGTCATGCCATCGCGATGAGTGCGGGACTTTTGGTGCGTCCGGGGTTGCACGCGGCGAATCGCGCGGCGGGCTGCGCGGCGTCTGCGGTGGAATCCAACACGTCAGAACGTGTGCAGATCGCGGATAGAATCTACACAAGGTCTGCGACTCGAATTACATTCCAACGCGTGGATATTCAAAGGCAACGGCAGGAAAAGAAGAAAAAGGAATAGCAAAAGGCTGTTATAGCGATCAGGGCGCTTAGGTTGCTGGCGCTTGTTGTTAAGGGGGGGGGGGAATCCCATGAGCGGAGAGATTCAACCAATTATTGTGTTTGGGACTAACCTGAGGGGAAGAGTTTCTCGTGGAGGATGTGAGCAATTTCTGTTCTCCCGAGCGTATTTCCCTTCTCATGAGCTTAGTTCTAGTGTCACCTTCCATTGGCCCTGTTTTGAAAGTTCTCCCCAAGGACAGGAGCGCCGCGATTAGCAAAGATATAGAGTTGACAATAAATAACATCTCACTAAATGACTCCATTTTTAGTGCTTCTTATTCTTTCTCTCTTTCATCTCCTTTCGCTGTAATCTTCTCACTGACACCGCTGCATTTCACCGATCTTCCCAGGTGGGAAGTTTCTCTTCAAAGCAGAACCTTGTGGTTTCTATCCGCGATCTGTACACACTCGGACGTGTTGAATTCCACTGCAGCCCGCGAAGCATCTTGCTTCGTCCGATCGCGCGCGGATTCGGCCCGTGAGAACCCCGGAGCACTACCAAAGTCGGTCACCCCAACTCTTCTCGGCTCCTTGTAAAATGTAGTACACCATAACTCGCAACACATTCGTACGGTCAGGCTGACAACAGCCTATTTATACTTGCATACTTTACGTATACCATGAAAAGCTGAGTTGGGATGAAATGGTGCCCCGGTTGCGCAACCTCACGACTTCAACTTCAAAGACTCATTGATAATAATCATACAGCCGCACAAGTCTTTGTTTGAGTTTTTTTATTCTTCTCGAAACTTGCACGTTTGTTGTCTGCTTTCCAGAGAACGAAAGGAAAGCAGTCTGTGGGTTTCAAAAAAAAAAAACGTGACATCTCGGAGAGTAGCAAAGCGTTGTCACTCCGTCAAATTGCGCAAAGTCCTGGAAAAGCTACAAAGTCTGGCAACTTCTTCAGAGCTGCTGTAGGATATGGAACTGAAGTAAGCTCTTCGTATGGCCTTAATGAGTGAGACCAAAGTGTTAGAGAAGAAAATCATTCAATCTATCAATTCGTGTTCGAAAACTTAGCCTTCCTCAAAACTTGAAACCGTCCAAAACATCCTATCTTCTCTTTCCCCTTCCCGAAAATAAAGAAAAAATTGGTACGTTTGTTTGGTGAACAATTCAAAAGCAACAGAGAAAATATAAAAGGATAAGGATAAAGCATTTGCCGTTGATCAATCCCTTTTTGGGATGCGGCACGCATTCTACTTCCATTTGTACATTCGTAGTGGCGTTTGAATGCGATGTGGCCTATACAATGACTTGCGGGGGCCAGCCGATGTACAAGTCAGTGTTTTTCCTCCCAGACAAGTCTGGTACCAATTAACCGACCCCGGAGGGATGGAAGGCTTGGCTAAGGGCGACTCACGACCTAGGATTTGATTCCCGGACCGCTCGCGGAGTAAGCGTACCACTCACCACTACACCACTTCTGCCCCTGAAAAACCTATAGTCGTTCATATTTGCGCAGCACATACATCACCTGTCGCATCATAACATTTGTCGAAAATGCTTGCCGCTGAAAAGAAGCGAATATTCGTGTAGTCTCTTTATACATAAGTGAGGAGCAGAACTCGGAGTTCCAAACCCTGCTAGCTATTGAAGGTCGGGGACGCTGCCTTTCTACCAAGATGTCGAAGATCGAAGGGCAGGACCGCATTTGTCATGGCGGTAGTGCCGGTCGGCGACGATAAAGTTCCAGTCGGAGCGTTTAACGAAAGGACCAAGCGACGGTTCACTGTAGCACTGCCCAGCGATGGAACATCTGGAAGACATTGCGCGCTCAGACAATTCGAGCAAATTTCACAGGTCGTAATTCTTTGGGAAAACTATAGGGGAACCGACGTTGGTCCCGACGTTTACTTCCTTGCTACACACACTACGCCACATTTGTCTTTGCTCACTCGCTTGTTTGGTGATAGGGTAGATGACCATTGCACAGACTGGATCACCAATCACTTCATTATATAAACCACAACTTTGGTGTGTCGGTTTGTCGGTGTGTGTGTGTCATTCTGTCCTTCCGGACCGACCGCTAGCAGAACCCGGGAATACGAAGGGCTCTACGTGATGTTGATGTCACGATTATGATAACCTACAGCTGCTATATAAGCACCTTTTGAGCACACTCACGATCAGTCTCATTCTGGTGCTGCACTGGCAGCTGGAGGGGTGGGGGGTAGAAGGGAGGGAGCAGGAAAGGGGAAATGGGGACAGGGAGAGAGATGGAGGGAAGGAGGGGGAGAGGAGAAAGGAGCGAGGACATGGTGTGCCGTGGCAGCCGGAGGGACAAGCGTGGGGGGGGCGTGGAAGAGGGGGTGGGAGATGGATGCAGGGAGGGAGAACAACCGCTTCCAAGAGGAAGGGCTGTATCCGTGTTGACGTATTACTCTAACGTATTGCTGATTCTGATAACACCCACAACGGCTATATAAACACCGATCGAGCACACTTACGATTAGTCTCATTCTATGATGCACAAGTGGAAGCACCACAGCGGAAGACGCTGAGCTTACACAGAGAAGCAACGGCCCGGCGGTCAGGGTCAACCGTCCGTTGGACAAAGTCCAACGAGGGGTGGGGGGTCGTATTTGGGGTGGAAAAAGGGGGGGTCGTATTTCGCGAGGTAGCGTTAATGTTACAGTAAGGGAAGTGATGATGCAGTTGGTTGGCGCGCTGTGAAATAAAGGGAAATGAGAGGATGATCGCGGTTTCGTGGTAGGTATATCCCCCTCCCCTCGACGGCAATTTTGGAGGAAAAAAGTGGGCGGAGTTGGGCTGTGTCGACTGGTCTCAGAATCGAATACTATAGAATGAGCCCCATGATGGCGATGGCAGGCGAGGGTGGTGGAGGATGGTCGTGAGGGGTTAACCCTGAGGGGGGAGGGAGTCGTAAAGCTTTCGAAATCGGTCCAACGTGACGGTTGACCCTGCCGGCGGTTGACGCAGGACCAATTTGGTGTTTTCATAGTTTCTTTGCTTCAACAGCAAAAATCTGCCATAGACCTTAACACTGTTGGAAATGAACGGGCGGTGCGCAGTAAGCGCCGTACTTGGCAATTAGCGCTAGCACAATTACAACTTCTCAATGATTTAACAACGCATGGTGGTGGAGTCCGCTCCTCCAAGTGGTGCCACTGGGAACTGCTCACTTTTATGGGCGCTCGTACGAGTTAGCAGAAGCTCTAGAGCGCCGACGGATTGATTCTGTGCCGTGCAGGAAACGAGGTGGTCCTGCTGCAGATCGAGAGATATTGGCCGCGGCTTCAAAGCCGTTCTTTGTGGCGGTCCTAGAACCACCAGTGGCGTCGGAGTGTTGTCTCTGAACGCTTCCGTGACTTCGATAGTAAGCGTTGATCGCTTCGACGACCGTCTTAATGAAGATCGTTGTCGTCATCGAACGTAAGCGATACCACTTCTTCTCTGCGTACGCTCCGCAGACTGGCTGCTCCGAGCAAGCCAAAGGACGAGTTCTGGACCCTGCTGGATGAGAAGACAGCTGAGGTACCGTCACAAGAAGCTGTAATTGTCGCAGGTGACCTTAATGGTCACGTTGGCGCTACGAAAGACGGTTACAACTGTCATGGTGGATTTGGATATGGGTCACGTAACACCGATGGCGAACGAATTCTTGAGTATGCAAATTCGCACAATCTCACCATCGTGAACACGAAATTCCGGAAACGTGACTCCCACCTCATCACCTTCTACAGCGGTACTACCAGAACGCAAATCGACTTCGTCCTCGTCAGGCAACGCGATCGAGGGCTCGTGACAGACGCAAAGGCGGTGCCGTAAGAGACTGTCACCACGCAACATCGGTAATCCGTTCTGCCCGTTCCGAACTCGGCACAACAAAACCTGGGCGACGGAAGATCGACAAGCAAGCGTGGCTATGGACGGACGATGTTAAAGAAAAAGTACGTGAGAAGAAGAGGCTATACCACGTATTTCTTGGCGATAAGACTGTCGACAACTGGCGGAGTTATCAGGCAGCTAAGAATGCGACAAAGAAGGCCGTTGCTGCCGCAAAAGCTACCCACTTTGCTGATGTTAGCGAGAAGCTCAAGACGCGATTTGGAATATGTTCAATCGTCTTGCCAAAGCCCGCCATCGCCAGTCCGAGGACATCGAGAAGTTTTTCGGCATCAACGACGAAAATGGTAACCTCCTGACGGACCGCAAGAAAGCAGTGAAGCGATGGCATGATTACTTCGAGAACATCTCAGCCGTAGAATTTGCTCATCCAGCAGTCCCTTATGTTCCACCAGTGCAAGGTCCTGTGCAGAGAATAACCGTGGGACGAAGGGTTCAGGAAAGTGATCAGGAAAAGCTGTCGCGATGATTTGGCGGCCGAATGGGAAGTCAAAATGCGGGGTACTGCTGAATGGGTTGCCAAGTTTCACAGAACCGTAGCAAGGAAAAGGTGCCTGAGAGTTGGCAGCAGAGCAACATCCGATTTGGAAGAAGAAAGGCAGCCCTGCTGACTGTACGAGTTACCGTCCAATCCGCCTGCTCTCGCACAGCATGAAGATCTTTGAGCGAATTGTGGACGGCCGTATTCGTGACATCGTGCAGCTTTCCATCAACCAGTGTGGATTTGTGTCAGGCTGCGGCACCATCGATGCAATACATGCCGCCCGCCTTCTGCTGGAAAGACATCGCGAGAAAAGAAAAGCTGTGCATCTTGCCTTCCTGGACCTGGAGAAGGCTTTTGATCGCGAACTCAAGGAGTCGGGTGCAAACGGTGGCAGGTACTTCGATGGAATTCCCATCTCGGTCGGTGTGCACCAGGCTCCGCGCTTTCCCCACTCCTATTCATTGTCGTTATGGATGCCATTTCGCGTGATCTTCAGAAGCCCGCTCCATGGACGCTTCTTTATGCTGATGACGTGATGCTCGCATGCGATGACAAACATCTGCTCGAGCAACAGGTGCAAACCTGGTCCGACCGTCTGGCTATGTTTGGGCTCAGGTTAACGTGAAGAAGACAGAGTACTTGATCACCGATTGAGTGAGTCAGGCTCGATTAAGATCAGTGGCACTGAGCTCACACGTACAACATCATTCAGGTATCTTGGGTCGGCAATTACGTCCGACAGCAGCTGACAACTCTCTGAAGTAAACTCCGGGTGAGAGAGCAGCTTGGTCCAAGTAGCGCTCGATGATCAGCGTTCTCTGTGATAAAAAAATACCAGAGCGACTGAATTCTCTAAGATCTACAGAACCGCCGTCCGAACAGTCGCCATTTACGGAGCAGAGTGCTGGCCGTGACCTAGGGAGGTTGAGGCTCGTCTCAGTGTAATGGAGACAAGAATGCTGCGCTGGACTGCTGGGGTCCACGCGTTTGGACACATTACGAACAAACATCAGAAGCGTTGGTGTGCTCCATGCTGATAAGATGCCGAATGCTCGCCGAGGTGGTACGAAATGTCCTCCGCGTAATGATTGAAGAGTTCCTTGAGTCGAAGTCTAGACTTTAACGATCGGCAGGAAAGCGGCATACAGAAGCAGGACGCCTGAAAGCCACCGATGGCTTATATTTGACATGAGGATTTCAATTTAGTTTCTACCCGATCAGCCTAATCGGGAAAAGGTGGTGTTCGTAAACAGGAAAGCGGACCGCCACAGGGTGGGAAAGCTCAACAAAGAGACAGAAGAAGAAAGAGATTGATCAACACGCTGACAGAAGGTTTAACAGCCAGCAACCATTTATTTCCACCAGCCCCAAGAAATCTGGAAAAATCGATCGCATTATGCACTCAAATACACAGTGATCATTTAGAGGAGATTCAAAAGCAACCTACCGCGTCAAAATAGCTCTCAACTGATTCCGTGAAGTCGATAATAAATACGATTGAAGTATCTGCACCCGAGCGGGGAATGGAGGGAAGTTGGATGGTCTAAATGAAAGAACATCTCTCCATCCGACGAGTTCCAATGTTCAATCTTGTGGAGGCATTTATTTTTCATACACTGCTAGATGTGCTTGCTTGCATATATTGTGTGCTCCTATCTTTTACAACATTCCTGCGTGGGCGGCAAGGACACTACATTAATTTATTTATTATTTTTTTTGTTTACTGTATTATTATTTATTTATTTATTTATTTATTTCAATGCACGAGTAGGTGCGCTGACACATTCTCAATAAAAATTGGTCTATAGTGACACATATAATTAAACGAAGCTAAATGGACCTTGGTGCGACAGGTTGAGAGCCTCCTTTCTTACGAAAGGGGGAAACGAAGAGGGTGTTATATTGCAAATTGATCGGCGAACAGACGGTGCAAGCATTAATTACAAATATTCAGCATTCAGCCTTCAGTAGGCGGATAGCGCTAGGGAGAACGCCACTCCTACATAAAACATCTGCCGTTAATAAACCCCTTTTTAGAACGCGGCACGCATTCTACTGCAGTGGTGCTTCGTAGTGCAATGAATGCGATTTAGGCCACTATTAATGATGTGTGGGGCCAGCATGTCATACAGTGGTTATTATCTCCCAAAGAAGTCTGGCACCAATCAACTGATCCCGGAGGGATGGAAGGCTGGTTGGCCCGGACAACGCATGAGCCAAGGTTCGATCCTCGGCCCGCGCGCGTGTTAAGCGTGCCACTGAATTACATCCCGCCCAGCACTACCGGATGTGCAAAATTTAAGAATTAGTGTCGGTCGACTTGTGGAGAATATGGAGAATGATAATAGCTATCTTATTTTTTTATCAGATCAATTGTAGGCGACATCAAAAAAAAATCCCTACTTCTCGGACAAGCAAGGCCGATCTTTAATCGTTCTCACAGAGTGCTCTCGAAAGTCTCTCACTTTCACTCCAACACACCTTGCGGGTTGTTCTCGTAGTGATGCTTGTTGAAGTAGTAGCAGTAGTAGCGGTCCTTGTTGTTGCTTTAGAGGTCTTGGCTAATAACTCGAGAGCTTTTTTGAGCTCTTGCAATAGTTGCTGAAAAAAAGGTTTCCATAATCGGATTTGCAGTAAAGTTGTCAGTTGTGATATTGCTCACAAACTGATGCACGAAAATCCTGTTCTCCAAAAAATGGCTTCGAAAACACTTGTGGATTCACCCACTCGTGGACAGAGCCAAGGAGGGGGGGGGGGCACGATGGGGAAGAGGCGTGTGATGGAGCGGCTATATATTGGGTGGCGTATGCAGAAGGGAGTCAGTCGATGCGTGTTTTAGTTTAGCGACAAAACATTCAGGCGCGTTTAGATTGAGAATTCAGTGGAAGGGTTCAATGTTCTCGCTAAAGTGATGAGGTTGACAAGGTTTTTTTCGTCACCGTACAAGGAGCGCACCCACTGCCAATATTTGTGGCAATTCTATGAGAGGAAATTCAGTGGAAAAACTCCTAGCTTTCTGACTGGAATCCCAGCGACTAGACCCTTCATGGCTCCTTTAATCGGATGTAGAGTGTAGGAAAACGGCTTGGACTACATTTATTATATAACAAATAAATGAATGAGCATAAACAAATAATTTGTAAAGCGTAAGAGACTGAGCCGTCCAGCTTTGAACCGTATGCAAGGCATCAAACTAGGATTACAGAACTGACGGAGAGGAGTGGAAAAGTTGAACCGCATGTTGGGGTGCTGAGTAAGACAAGACCGTCGCATGTGCGGAACTCATTTCAAATTGACATTTAGGCTCCGCCACTCCATTAGGACAGTTGCATAACGGTATCGTGAGCTGGCACTGTTGTATGGGCATGGAAGCTGTTCACGACAATTTTGAAATGTGGTTTACCAAAACAAATGATAGTGAAGGAAAATTTCAAATGACTTAGTTATGAGGAGATGAAATCATGCGGTCTACAATCCGTGCCGAAAAATAATCTGAAGCTCAAAAAAAAGAAGCAAGTATGACTATAGAAACAAGCTAGCATGCAAGCAGAGGCGCCAGAGAAACAGCGGTATCGGCTCCAGTTTCAGCAAACAGAACGCGTTGATGTGCAGACACCACCCACAGTGACGAACGCCTTCACAAGCAAAGTGTTTTCTGGCCAATAAATGATTAGCTGTTGCAGTTGTATTTTATCAGTTGTCACCAATACAGCTCCCATTCACCAAATGTCAACTATCACTATGTGTCATCAGGTTTGCTTGGAGGCCGTCGTCACTTGTGGTGTGGGGTCTGCACTCGATGCGCTTTAGGTTTCCTTGAAAGAGGGTACGTATGCAAAGTTGCGGGCCGAGGCATTTATGCGGGCTGAGAGAAGCTTCTCGCGCGGTCACTCTTTCTAGTCGAAAAAGCTCTTTTGTGATCTTTCTAAGCAGCTCTATACTACCTGTCCACTGATAGATCCACCCGAACTCATTGCACAGCGTTTTCTCAAATTCTTTAGCATGCCTCAAAATCACAAAATTTTCCGAAAGGCAAGTTTATATGCGAACATATTGCAGAGACCGACGCTCAAAACTAAGATTGCTGGCTCAAGGAAGTAATCATAGAGGCCAAAGGCGCGCTATCAGCGATGCACTCGGTTTTCTCAAAAGTTCGTGCGTATTTCGAACGCTTTTTGAGCCTACTCGCACATGCACTAATTATCACAAATATATGTGCTATTGCTCACTTGTAGAGGGTGTAGAGGGGCTTAGAGGGGACATGGAGTGCACAATGGCACACCAATAGCGGGAAAAGCAGGGAAATCCGTCAAGAAACGCAAAAGGGACCCTTTTTTGGCCGTTGGTTTTCACTCATGAACAGGTAACAGCTCAGAAAGCGGACGTATGAACGAGTTCACCGCAACGCGTTTGGTGGCACTGCCAAACCATACTACAGTTGAGTTGCTCCAGTTCTGCTACTGCTGGCAGCGCAGCTCGTTCAACAATTCACCAACTTTTAGGCTGTCCGGAAAGTTTCCGTCGATTTTGACACTGAATTCAAATGCGCATAACTCGGTCCAAGCACAACGCTTTCGATCGAGAATAAAAGCTATTATAATCCCATACGCTTTCATTCAAGACAAGTGTCAAAACATCTTATTGTTAGCTGTTGGAAGTGCTGGAATCTGTAAGCGATAAATCCGGCGAAGGCCATTTTAGCATCATGCTGAACTTCGAAGCATTTCTCTTCAAAGAAGCTATCCAGACGGTAGGAAAAGTGGCAGCGGATATGCAAGAGGTTTATTGAGTAAGATGTTAGCAACGCACTTCAGTAGCCCATCTAGTTCAATTTCACAGAACAGCGTTGGGTTCGAGACACATCGAGAGAAGGATCGTCCCCCTTTATGATAATTCTTATTGGCGCATTCATTAATTTTCGGTGTATTTGACACTTTGTTGAAAGTAGAGTCCTCTGCAACATTTCCGTCTGGGCTTGAAGAGCCGCACCTGCCACAATCCTTGTGAAAGTGTTTACAACTTTGCCCTCGTGCATTTCCACCTTTTAGAAAACCTGCTGACCCTAATCTCGATTGAAGTTTTTAGAGGAGGCTCGCCGATTATTGCCACGAATCTTTTCTGTGTTGCACGTTACAATTCAATGAAAAGAGTTCATTTTCATTGAGCAGAAGAGGGTAGAAGGAGAGCGGATGAGTGTTCGAAACCGGGACTCTCAGCGGTACACGCTTGTCGACTTTTTCAAAATTTTCAGCCTTCTGCGTTTTTTAATAACAGGTGGGTTATATCCAATTTAGTATTGGACTCTCTACAGTTCTGTGCAGATATAGTTTAGTCAAAATCTTTAATTATTTTTATTCATGTCCGATATCCAACCTCTACCCTCTTCATCTTCGAGGCTCTCGCAATTTCTGGAAAAGCTATCTGAACCATTGCTGCACAGCGCTGTTTTTGTGAATCTTAGACCAAACACATAGCTGATATTGCGACGTGCTCGCGCCTCTCTTCGGCTATTTATGGTTGAAATAATGAAGTGATGCGAAATCGCCTTTTGACCAGGTGGTTTTCAAGGCTTTAGAAAAGTGGCAACAACCACATTCGAACAAAACTGACACTACCACTAGACAGAGCGCTTCAAAGCGAT